GTATAACTTATTAAATTTTCAGAAAATGTTCTAATAAAGATAACATTTGTAATACATCATATTATTCATAGGCAAAGGTAATTAAAAGGAATTACTTACACTACCCACTAAAAAACCGTAAAGTGCAAATAATACGCCAAAATAAATCAGCGCTCCAAGTAACATTAACGTAAATATATCATCAATCGTATTAATAAATCTAAAAGTTTTAAAGATATTGGTAAGCATTTTGCGCATGTACATTTAATTAAATAAATATACGTCATTGAAATAATATTATTTTCGTATTTCCTTATCGAATTAGCTTTATATAATTACTTGCCATAACTGTAATGATTTCAAATCATAATCAAAACGTATGTTTTAGGCGTATTTACTTAAATTATCTTAGATATTATGTGCATTTTAATAATTTTGATTACATAAAATACCGTAAATTTATAACACAAATCTTCAAATTTTTTATAATAAAGTTTATTTTATTTAGAAATTTTGGATGTTTTGCAATTATGTAATTTAGTAAAAAATAGAAAAAAGAAAAGAATTAAAAAAGTCAACAATGTGCTGACCTGATGAGACGTATATGATCCTGTACGCTGTGTGATAAAGCATTTTCGAAATTTTGGAACTTATCCAGTTGAATGATACGTATTTTGAGATTTTCCAACTGACCACATACGTGAAAAACTAATAAACCTAAAAAACTATCTACAGTAATGTACATAAAACCTGCTGCTGTCATTCCGAGACTCTGCATGATGTAAGTTATTTCATAATATGGACTTTTATCTCGATCGTATATATAATACGATTGTAGCGGTACTATTTTGCCTGGATCCGTTTCATTTGTCATGTATCTGATGGAAATACCGAATGCAGGAAGAACTATACCCAAATTAAAGGCTATCAGCATCACAATGTATCCGAATAATGTAAACATTCGTGCTATTCGTGCTCGTTTTATCATAATATCTCTCTCTATTATCATTTTCGGTTTCAACCAATCGTCTTTAATCATGTTTAAAAGAGGAAGAATATCTGTAACCAACGGAAATAATAGAGTTTTATATCTTTTATTTTACTTTGAACACTACATTACTTTCTAAATTTAGATAATAAGTTTGAAAAATACTGTTGTATTACTATTATGTAGTTTACAGAATGTATATGTACAAAGGAGAATATAGCCAGTTGTTACAATCTTATATTAGAATTTTTTTCTCAAACTGATGTAAGAATTAAATTTTTTAAATGAGTACTTATGCATTGATTGTAATATGTATCTTTGGCTAGTGTAACTAGGATTAACTAGTCGAAGTAGATAATAATTAATTTTTTCTAATGTATTGAAAATTAATTTTTCTGTTAATAGGTAAATTATCACATGTTATTCCACATTGTATGTCAAGTTACTCAGTTAGCACAAATTATTGCATTTATGATATTATTTCAAACACACATATACACACACTCACATGTAGGCATACAAAATAAATTAAAGATTATAATAAAATCAAACACATGAAAATGTATTATACGGAATATTTATTTTAGGATATAAAATTGAAATGAAAAATATGTTAATTTGGATTTTTTTCTTGAATTAATTGTTGAGTTTCTAGCAAAATGTAATAGTTGTAAGAAAGTAAAACAAATAACAATTGTAGGGTTAACAGCCAGTTATGCAACAAAAAACATTTAATTTAAAATATAAAAATAAAAATAATTACAAACGTTTCAAAGCAGGTTGGGTCATTCTCAGTGTAAGCAGTAAATAAATTATAAATACAAATTTATTAGAAATAATTTAATTTATAGATATCTATCCTCATAATCATTAAACATGTATAATGTTTTCTATAATTTATAATTAATGCTTCCAGTAATTATGAGTAAGATGTCACACTTATGAAATTTATGAAATGTATTGTTTGGCAATTAAAAGAAGTAATTATAACAACTAACTTCTGTCTCCTCTGTGTATTACCTTCCTTTCTCAGCCACATAATGCATAACTTTGTTATTGCTATTGTCAGCGGTAAACTATATTGCAGGTTATCTATCATAAACATTATATTTCCCCAAACTTTGAACAAAGAATGTACAGTTGGAATGTAGCACCCACAGATTGCAGAGTTTAACATAAGGATTGTACAGATGTTTGATATCATCTTTTCCTGTTTAGTTTCATTGTTTTTTGGCCAGACGCCCAACAGTGTCAAACCAATCCGATTTAATTGAATAGCCCATTTATAATCTAATTTACAAAGAGATAAAATTAAAATAATAGATAAATGCAATTGTGTACTTCTAGTAAGATAAAATTGCTTTGTTGTCCATAAATATTATGTAATGATGATGTATTTTTTTCCTTTATGTGTTTTCTCTTTCCTTTAACCTTTTTCTTCTTTTTTTTAGTAAATTACATTTCTCTTCTTTTTCGTAAAAAATAGTTATGTATTTATTCTTGAAGCATAATATTATATATATGAAAATTTGTATATAAATACTAAATCTTTAATTAAATTTACTCTTAGCTAGATTAAAATAATATCAAATCAACACGTTAAAATAGGTGACATGTATTATACACATATACAATATGTATTATATTACTATATGAATTATATTAGTGCGTATGTTTGTGTGTGTGTTTGTATAAATATGTAGTAAAACAATGTATAAGTAAGATAATAATTGAGTGACACAAACTTTCTTTGCAATTTTTATCTATGTTAATAATAATTTTTCAAAGATATAAAATATTTTTTATTTAAGTGGGCATAATAGAAAACATTTTAGTTAATATTTTTGCAACACTACTTTGCACGAAAATAATTTGAAATATTGTTTGTAAACTTTAGGTTCATGTGCTTGATGACCATTGCTATCTAGCATGTCTGTCCGAACTAATCAAAGAAATAAATGCACACCTACATAAGCTGAATACTTTGAAACTTCCATATTGTTTTCTGCGAACAGACTAAGCTTTCCTTTTCCTCGTTTCATTGTCCGTTGGAGTAGTAGATTTTTACATATGACGAGACATCCTAACTATAATGCCTTCCAACAAGTGTGTGCTTCGCATGTTAATAATGTAACATCTTTAACGGAGACTATTACTGTGGATATTTACAGCTAATGTTTATAACCGTGACATTTGGTTCAGTCTACAGATGAAATACTGCATAGTAGCTTAATAACGAATAAAAAAGTGTAAGTTATCGATGCAGGGTCGCAACGCATGTATATTTAAAAACGTTTAGTGTATAACTGGGAATTTATTATGAAGGTAGTTTGAGTTTAAAAAGGGTATATATGTCTTCTTCGTTTATTATACGTTGGAAATTTGTAAAATCGACCCTGTTCTGCCGTAATAATCGATTCATTACTTTTCTGAAAATATGAGAAACTTGAAAGTTTTTTAAACTATAGTTTGGAGTTTCTAAACTTTAGCTTCAAACTTAGTCTTCTCATTCCTTTTTATTTTATTAAATTCAGTCAATTTCAAAGACGAAGCTTGATACTAAATGATTTGACTCTATAGTACGAATGTAGCCAAGTTTTACATGTCATACGTGTATTATAGAATGTTAGCTCGTATTTATTACCAGGAGTGATCGTAATACACAAAATCTAAAAATGGATACTATACATTATCATCTGGTACTGCAATTTTTTAAAATATATTTGTGTTATTGTCTTGAAAGATAAAATAAAGTTTTTTTCTCAAGCTCATCGACAATTATTCAGACGAATTTGTCAATTGTGTATCGCAAATTGATTTATTGTTGCAAATTGAATAATGAATATAAGTACATATAATGGTACATACACTACTCGACATAATTTAAAGGATCACTTGTTCCACCCTGCAAAGATAGGTATATTTTGAGATAGAATAATTACGTCTAGACATTTGATGCGCAAGCATCGATTCAAATGTTTAAAAAACTGTATTACTAATATTTTTTATAAAGTTAGACAAACATAAATGAACAGGATCAGATTTCAAAATTTTTTACAAAATTTTCGAAGTTCTATTTGGTCAAAAATTGTGCACAAATACGATTTCAGTTTTCGAAAAAGTGAATCCTTATATTGCTTTATTGTTTAGTATAATTTTTTTTCACCGAGTTATTTAACGCTGAAGTAAAAATGACCCTTATTCTTATATTAAATGACTTTAATTTTGTTAAGAAGATGTAGGCAAATTTTAAGATAAACTAGCTTCGTCAAAAATCATCGTATCGAGATGTTTAAAAAAGCATTTTAATGTTTGAAATCTCCATTTTTCAGACCGATACTTCAAAAAACGGTGTGTTAGATATTTCGTGAAGTTATTTCGTGATCTTATTTATATACATATATTTAAAATTTTTATTTTATGCCGTTTCTTTTAGTAATATTCTAAACTAGAAATTAATTAAACAATCTTATTAAAGCTCGATTTAGACCGCTTTTTGTATATTTAAATTATACAAAACTTATAAAATTGTCAGAAAATGCGTTATCAAGTTTTTTATATTTCACTTCCCGACGACCACCTATCCGATCACGTCAATAGCTTCAATGCACAGTACTGCTTTTGCACGTGGCAAACTTCGAAAAGTACAATAATAGTGATTGCGTATTGTACTATATATGTTTTTATATTAATATATATATGTATATGTACCTATTGAAATACAGCTGTAAATAGCATTAATATATTTTATTTATTATCGTGTCATAACAAAATTATTACGCAAACTAACTGACGTCTCATTATAAAGGATATTTAGATTTTGTTTATATCTTTGTTCAATTCATAAGCGATCATTTATTGTGAGCCTTTGTAGCTGAACTTCCGAAAATGACACTCGAACAATTGGTATGAACTTTGATAAACATATTCTAAATGATGTTAAATGTTAAATGAATACCCTTAAATGGATTTTAATTGACACGAAGGTTTAATTTAATGTTACAAATATTTATACGGAGTTAAAAAGTTATACGTTGCTGAAGTAGAGTTTCGTAAATGCTACCCTCCTGCAGCACTTCCTGTACGGCGCGCACGATTTTCCATGTGATACGAGGACACTCCACTTTCTTCCTTGCCAAAGGATGCTCGATGGTGGTGTAGATCTGCTTGAAGATCAAGGCCAACATCAAGATCACTCGGAAGTGATTTGGAATGTACGGTGTAAATAACTCATTTATGTATATATATATATAACATTTTTTTATTAAACATTTTTTTTTAAACATTTTTAGTATTAAAATTTCTTATCCATAAAAATTCATTTAAGGGGTATTTATTTAACGTCATGTGTGAAATGTTTTTACCAAAATTAGTGGCAATTGTGTTAGATAGCTTTTCGAAAATTTAATCTTATTTTGGAAACCTTTTAATTGTTTTAGAACAATTTATGTAAAGTAGTTTGTTTTATCAAAATATTAATAATTTAACAAATACTCTTATTCAATAAATCACAAAGAATGTTTTCTAAATCGTTGCTGTAAAATAAATTGATATTTTTTAAATTACCTGCACAATGTGTAATTTTCTCCAAGGAATGTTCTATAAGTGAAATCCAGGGCGTTTCACACCGTAAAAAGAAGTTCCTAGGAGAAATGTATGTTTAAATCAAGTTAATACAATAATATTGTTATTTTATTACGTATATTTGACAAATATGTAAATATGCATGCGTTCTTATAAATGAAATAAATTTTATTGAATTTAAATTCAAATTGTGATAAAATAAACATATTAATTGTTACTTTCCTATATGTGAGTTTCAAAATCAGATTTATTCGACATTCGCGGAATATTTTATTTTTATTCTCGATGTGCCAGCAAAACCGATATATAACCAGCCGATGTCTTTAACAACTGCAAATAAAGTATATATAAAAAATAAACGTTGAATTTTAAAATTTATTTAATTAATAACGATAAGAACAAAACCTTATGGACACCTTACATTTTGTACGTATAAGTAACATAATAAATAAGATAAAAAAGTGTTATATACACCAAAGCTGTTTATTTTATTTTTCATACCGAGTGAGACAATGCTACAGCGATCTAAGCTGGATCACGGGTGCTTCTTAATAATTGCGTGTGAATTTATATCATATATTACGTACGTAATTTTTTCATTGCGCGTCGAAATTTTCTTACAATTAGACTTGAAACACCAATACGCATAAACTACCTCACTAATATCACGAGTTAAATTGACTAACAATTTGACAATTATTGGTGCTATTTACGCATCTTATATTGATCTTAATAATACCAGAAGGTTTACGTGTTATCGCATGTGTCAGCGCACCCCTCGCCCTGATGAAGTGTACGGCATGGTTCACGAAATGTTGGCATTAATAATGAAGAAAGACTCGGCGATAACCCGTAAACTTTCGGGTATAATTGAAGAAAATACCCGTGAAAACCTCAAAAGCGTGATCTTAATAATGTTAAATAACCTATTAATCTACTGTAAATAAACTTTTATTGCAAAAAATGCGTGCCTCGGTGATCTAAAGGCTCACTGTCAGTACGTTAGCACGGAATGTCAGAGACCCGGGTTGGACTTCTGCCGAGGTATCATTTTCGGCAATAAAAATTAATTATTAACAGTCATTCAACATTATCAAGATCAATATAAGATGCATAAACACATCAATACTCGTTAAATCATTAGTCCATTTATCTCGTGATATTATTGCGGGAGTTTGTTAGTGTTGTGTTTCAAGTTTGAAAACATTTCGGTGTGCAACCGAAAATTACATACGTAGTATATAAATTCACAAACAATTATTTAGAAGCATCCGGGATTTAAACCGCTGTGACACTGTTTCATTTGGTTAGAAATTTGGTGGTCCAATAAAAATTAACATCGTTCATTTTTTATGCCTATATTAAGAATTATGCTGAAGGTTATAGTGATATGAACAATTTGTATTATTTAGCTTACTTGACAAAATGTAGACATTGTCATAGGAACTAGTTTTCCTGCGGTAAGGTACAACGATCTGTTGGCTCGAATCATTATCATCATTAAGCTTTTTGCTTTCTTTGGCTCCAAGTTGTACCATTTATACTTGCATGCAGCTTCATAAACTCCTTCGCACTTGACATATATATAGCCATACGCAATAGATTTTACATTTTTATAGATTGTGTGTTAGGAATGGCCAAGTATTTTAATTAGAATATTTATTGATCGGATTGATATGATTTATATTTTGTATGTAATAAAGTAATCAAGAAGATAACGTACTTCTGTGACCAAAATTTCTCCTACAATGCAGTAAAGACATGTATGTGCAACTATATTGACAGATGTTAATATAATGTAAGTTAAACGTAGTACTGATATGGCACGATCTTGAATCACCATCTAAACAAACAAATAGATCAAAAATTTAATAGAATTAAGTATTTTATTTTGAATATTTAAGAATGCTTTTTTTAATGTTAAATAAATACGTTAAAATGTTTAATATAATGTTAGTTACATTAATTATAATTTATAATATGATGTTCTTGTTTGTATTACGTTATCACATTTACAGATTTTATACGTATAAGGTTATTCTCTATTTATACAATTTTAATCGTTTATTTTAAATTACAATAATATAATATTTAAAAAAGAAACATATAAATGAAAAGAGTTTTTTGGCAACATATCTCGCAATACATGGGATTGTCATATACGCATGTATGTTTGTTTACGCCTATGTAGAGTATATATATATATATATAAAAAAAATATATATATATATGTTATGTATACACATTCAGTATTTAGAAAATATTGTAATATAAAAAAGATATTTATAATACGTCACAATATTGATAGACAAAATTAATTAAGGAGATTAGTTACCCATATAAATTAAGAAAGAGATACTTACAGTTACCAATAAGAAACCTTGAAATGCAAATATTACGCCAAAGTAAAACAGCGCACCAAGTAGCATTAATGTAAATATATCGTCAATCATATTAATAAATCTGAATATTATTAAAGAAAGGAAGTTAATGCATATTTATAAATTAATTTTTCTATTAATTGATTACATTATAATATTAATTAAGAGAACTTTTTCTCATTTTACTTTATCTTTCATATAATAATTTAAGTAAACATGCTAGTGAAAAAAATGTAATTCATTTTTTATATCTGTTGTAAAAAAAGATGCAGTATAATTATAAGTAGAAATAAGTATATGATCATATATGTATCTCACAATGAGTGTACAATTGAATACAAAGCAAACAAGAATGTTACGCGCAAAAAAAATATTCATTATAATAAGAATAAAAGAATTCAAGAAATTTGTAGATAACCGTATTATTTAATTTACTGCTAAATTTTTATTTATTTTTTAATATTTTGTAGTAGTGGTCTGAATAACAATAATTGGTTTACTTCTCTAAAAAGTGGGTAACACGAAATGTGTTTTGCGCATATAAATATATATAAGATTTAACAAAAGTGCGTTATTGAACTAATTTGATTTTAGTATTCCCTCGTTGAATTTATTCAATAACTTGATATAAGTAAGTATTTGCTTGAACTCTATTAATTGTAAATCATAAGAAAATTGTCGGTGAAATCATTATATGCAGCAATATAAAGAGAGTTATGTAAGTAGTTATAACAAAAATATTTTTTAAGATAATTGTTACAAATGATGAAGTGTTTGATTCTCATCATCAATGATATATTGACGACGTATGAAAAACGTTTAAGTTTTCTTTAGCTATTTTTCTTTAACATATACAGTTACGGTTCTTTCTTTAGAGGTAAAGAAAGTGCCTGTTTGATTTTATTATTGATTTTTTTTTGTTTTAATATTCGTTTGTACTGTGTAAATAAGAAGCAGTATTTACATATAATACAGTTTGATTGTAAATTTTAGTATACTGATGAATTGTAAGGCATATTTACTTAAATTATCTTAAATACTATGTGCATTTCAACAATTTTGCTCTTATTTAAAACTATGATACAAAAGCTTAATGTATTTTGATATTTGGACGTTTCGCAATTATTTAATTTAGATAAGAATAGAAAAGACAGAAATATTATAAAAAATCAATAATATTCGTAACCTGATAAGACGTATATGATCCTCTACGCTGTGTGATAAAGCTTTTTCGAAATTTTGGAATTTATCCAGTTGAGTGATACGATTTTTGAGATTTTCCAACTGACCACATACGTGAAAAACTAATAAACCTAAAAAACTATCTACAGTAGTGTACATAAAACCTGCTGCTGACGATCCGAGACTTTGCATTATGTAAGTTATTTCGTAATATGGACTTTTATCTCGATCGTATATATAGTACGATTGTAGCGGTAATAATTTGTTTGGATCCGTTTCATTTGTCACATATCTTATGGAAATACCGAATGCAGGAAGAACTGCATACAAAGTAAAGGATATGAGCATTATAATATATCCGAATATTGTAAACATTCGTGCTATTCGCGCTCGCTTGATCATAATGTCTCTCTCTTTTATCATTTTCGGTTTCAACCAATCGTCTTTAATCATGTTTAAAAGAGGAAGAACATCTGTAAACAACGTGGATAATAAGGTTTTATATATTTTATTGATAATAAGGTTTTATATATTTTATTTATTCAAATTAAGCTTTGAACATGTCATAACACTTTTCAAATTCAGATAATAAAATTGAAAAATACTGTTTTATTATTATCATGTAGTTTACAGAAATATGTATATGTACAAAGGAGAATGAAGCCAGTTGTTACAATTTTATATTAGAATTTTTTTCTTAAACTGAAATGTAAGCATTAAATTTTTTATTAATGAGTACTTATGCATTGATTGTAATATAACTTTTGTCTAGTGTAACTAGAGTTAACTAGTCTAACAAGGGGAGGGCGCGAGGTGTTACTCACCGATTTTAAAAAGGCTTATGTATGTTAAATTACTTTAGTAATACAGTACTTTACATACATAAGCCTTTTTAAAATTGGTGAGTAGCACCTCGCGCCCTCCCCTTATAAGTCAATAATTATTAATTTTTTTGTTAATAAGTAAATTATCACATGTTATTCCACTTTGTAAGTCAAGTTACTCGGTTAGTAACTAATAATTTAACAAATTATTATCATTTATGATATTATTACATTTCTGAGATTATTTCACACACACACATACACACATACACGTACACACAAATAAATTATAAATACATAATTAATAGAAATACATTAATTTATAGATTTTCTATCCTCATAATCATTTAAACATACATAGTGCCTTCTATAATTTAATTAAGGCTTCTAGTGATTGTGAGTAAAATGTCACAGGTATGAAACTTATGAAATGTATTGTTGTCTTTGGCAACTAAAAGGAATTATTGTAACAACTAGCTTCTATCTCGTCTATGTATTACCTTCCTTTTTCAACCATATAGTACATAACTTTATTATTGCTATTGTCAGTGGTAAAGTATATTGCAGGTTATCTATTATAGACATTATATCACCCCAAACTTTGAACAAAGAATGTACAGTTGGAATGATGCACCCACAGATTGCAGTGTTTAATATAAGGGCTGTATAGACGTTTGATATTATCTTTTTCTGTTTAGTTTCATTGTTTTTTGGCCAGACGCCCAATAGTGTCAAACTAGCTCGATTTAATTGGATAGCCCATTTATAATCTAATTTATAAAGAAATAAATGCGATTAAAAGTACTTCTAGTAAGATAAAATTGCTTTGTTGTGCATAAATATTATGTAATGATTATGTATTTTTTTTCTTTATGTGTATTCTCTTTCCTGTAACCTTTTTCTTCTTTTTTTTATAAATTACATTCCTTTTCTTTTTCGTAAAAAATAATTATTTATTTATTCTTGAAACATAATATACGAGGGTCGTCTGAAAAGTTTGGAGCCTAACATAGAAACAAGTAATTTTTCGGTCAAATTCAATTTTATTTTTCCACATAGTCTCCTTTTAAATCGATACATTTTTTTGAAGTACGTGTTCGTTATATATTGACTAAAAAATTAGGCATGCGTAAGTTAACCGCGCGTTGGGTGTCGCGCTTGCTCACTCTGGATCAAAAGCGCATTCGAATGAACATTTCTAAGGCCCTGTTGGAGCGGGGTAGGCGAAACGAGTCGGACTTTTTGCTTCGATTAATAACGGTTAATGAAACTTGGGTTCATCACTTCACTCCTGAAACGAGAGAACATTCAAAACAGTGGACTTCGAAGAGTGAACCTGCTCCGAAGAAAGTGAAGACGGTTTTATCGGCATAGGAAAGATGATGGTGACTGTTTTTTGGGACAATCATGAAATTGTGTTAATCGACTATCTTGAAAAAGGTAAAACAATAACAGGGACGTACTACGCATCATTACTTGACAAGCTGAAGGCAGAAATTGAGAAGAAACGACTTTCAAAAAGAAGGAAGTGCTGTTCCATCAAGATAATGCACTGTCTCACACTTCGGCTGTCGCTATGGCATAAAATTCACGAATTGCGGTTCAAACTAATTGCTCCATTCACTGTATTCACCAGATCTGTCCCCTAGCGACTTTTTTCTGTTTCCTAGGCTCAAAGTTTGGCTCGGAGGACAGAAATTTTCATCGAACGAGGAGGTCATCGCATCCGTAGACGCCTATTTTGCAAAGCGTGACGCTCAGTATTATTTGAATGGATTAAAGGGGTGGGAGCATCGTTGGAAAAAATGTATCGAATTAAAAGTAGACTATGTGGAAAAATGAAATTGATTTTGACCGATAAAATACTTGTTTCTATGTTAGGCTCAAAACGTTTCAGATGACCCTCGTATGTATATGAATTTGTGTATAAATATTAAATCTTCAATTACATTTAGTATTAGCTAGAGATTAAAATAATGTCAAACCAACTTACGTTTAAAAGGATGATATGTATTATACACATATTAGTATATGTGTTGAATTAGTGTGTATGTGTGTGTGTGTGTGTGTGTATTTGTATAAATGAGTAGTAGAACGATAAATAAGTAAGATAATAATTGAGTGACACGAACTTTCTTTACGTTTGCAATTTTTACCTGTGTTAATAATAATTTTTCAAAAATATAAAATATTTTTTATTTAAATGGGTATAATAAAAAAACATTTTACTTATTATTTTTGCAACACTACTGTTTTGCACGAAAATAATTTGAAATATTCTTTGTGAATTTTAGATTCATGTGCTTGATGGACATTGCTATCTAGCATGTCTATCCGAACTAATCGAAGAAATAAATGCACACCTACATAAGCTGAATACTTTGAAACTTCCATACTGTTGTTTGCAAACGGACTAAGCTTTTCTTTTTCTCGTTTCATTGTCCGTTGCAGTAGTAGATCTTTACATATGACGGGACATCCTAACTTTAATGCCTTTCAACAAGTGTGTACATCGCATATTAATAATGTAACATCTTTAACAAGAATAATACGGTCGATATTTATAGCTAATTTACAACCATGACGTTTGGTTCAGTCTACAGATGAAAAATTGTATAAAAAGTGTAAGTAATCGCGATGCAGGATCGCAACATGTATAACTGTGAATGTATTATGAAGTAGGTTTGAGTTTAAAAAACGGATATGTGTCTTCTTCGTATATTATACGTTGGAAATTTGTAAAGTCGATCCTGTTGTGCCGTAATAATCGATTGTTTACTTCTCTGAAAATATGAGAAACTTGAAAGTTTTTTAAACTATAGTTTAGAGTTTCTAAACTTTAGCTTCAAACTTAGTCTTCTCATTTCTTTTCATTTTATTAAAGTCAGTCAATTTCAAAAACGATACTTGAAATACTAAACGGTTTGACTCTATAGTACGAATATAGCTAATTTTTACATGTCATACGAGTATAATAGAATGTTAGCTCGTATTTATTACCAAAAGTGATCATAATATCCGAATGTTGTCAAATGTCCTTAAATGAATTTTTATCAACATGAAGGTTTAATGCCATAAATATTTACACAATGTCATGTCACTGGAGTGGAGTTTTGTAAATGTTGCCCCTATCTACGTACTCTTATCTAAAGGAGGACGATTTTCCACATGAAGCGTGATCTACCCCATTTTCCCTTTGTCAAGGAGTGCATGAATTTTCACGTAAAACGAGGATCATCCCACTTTCTCCTCTGCCAGGAGGTGTTCAAAGTTGTGGCATATCTTTTTGAAGATGAAGGTCAACATCAAGATCACTCGAAAGTGATTTGGAGCGAATAAGGTAAAGATAATCCATTCAGGCTGTATATAGTTTAACGCCAAAAATGTTTATTTAAACATTTTTAGCTTTAAACTTTCTTATCCGCGAAGATCCATTTAAGGATATTTATTTGATGATATTGGAGTTTTTATGCTAAAACTCATGACAATTGGGGTGGGTAGTTTTCAGAAATTTATCCATAATTTGGAAACGTTTTTACTGTTTTAGAACAATTATGTAAAATAGTTCGTCTTTTTCAAAATATTAACAATTCTGAAATACTCTTATTGAATACATTTTAAAGAATGTTGTTGCAAAATAAATTATAATTTTTTAAATTACCTATACTATGTGCAATTTTCTCCAAGGAATGTCCTCTTATAAGTGAAGTCCAGAGGATGTTGTACATCCTAAGGAAAAGTTAACAGGAGAAATGCATATTAAAATCAAGATAATGCAATAATATTGTTATCATAATACGTATATTTTACAAATATGTAAATATACATACATTTTTATACATTAAATAAATTTTATTATATATAAATTCAAATTATGATCAAATAAATACAATTAATTATTACTTCCCGATGGGTTTTAACATTAGATTTTTATTTTCGCTGATTTTGATTTTTATTCTCAATATGCCAGCAAAATCGATATATAACCACCCGATGTCTTTAACAACTGCAAATATAATATATGAAAAAAATGTCAAAGTATAAAATTAACTTAATTAATAACGTAATAATAAAAATAAAACCTTACAGACACCTTACATTTTATACATATATGTATAAAGTAACATAAATAAAATAGTAAATGCTGTTACATACATAAAAGTTGTTTTTATATTATATTTTCTGTGATCTATGTTAAGAATCGTGCTAAAGATAAGAGTGATATGTTAACAATTTCTATTAGCTAGCTTACGTTACACAATGTAGACATCGTCATAGGAAACAGTTTTCCTGCGGTAAGGTATAACGATTTGTTGGCTTGAATCATTATCAACATTAAGTCCTTTGCTTTCTTTGGCTTCAAGTTATACCATTTGTACTTGCATGCAGCTTCATAAATTCCTTCGCACTTGATATACGCAAATTATATATTGTTTTATATTAGATGCTTGAATTAATTCTCGCTGTTGACTGAGAGAGGTCAGTATTTGTGCTATTTCAACATGGCCGAAAGTGACTGCTTATGTATATGAAAGTACTATCAAAATGACAGGTTTCGTACCAAAAAAGAGTATTTGCGGGAAGCGTTACTTTTCTGTTTTAACCTCAAGAAATCTGCTACTGAAAGTC